CACATACGTATGTTGTGTGCGTAAATAAGTAGATTATAATAACTAGTGACACAGATTTCAGAAAAATAATGTTTATTAACAATTATATTAACTTAATGATTGTTAATAAACATTATTTTTCTAAAATCTGTGTCACTAGTTATAATCTACTTATTTACGCACACAACATACGTATGTGCACACGCACACGCATATGACATTTAATTGCCACTCACACAGATGAAGGAAAGCGTGCGTGCGTGCGTACGTCATTGTGTGCACCGTGTACATTTATTATACACGATTACACGTTTGCACATATCACACATACACGGGTACACGTGAATCTTAAAACACGTATCGTAAGCTCTACTCCGGACAGCAGTTTGTTCAGTTCCTCGTCGTTACGGATGACTAACTGCAAGTGGCGCGGGATTATCCTAGTCTTTTTGTTGTGGCTGCGTTTCCAGCCAACTCGAGCACTTCAGCCGCCAGATATTCCATGACGGCGGCGAGATAGACCGGCACACCGCGCCGACACTGTACCGTCAGATCTATACATAAAATTTAAAAAAGTAATACAAATGCACCGGTGACGGGTATGTCGGCGGCGCGCCAATGTAGCAGAAAAAATACACCGGAATTTAAAGACTTACGTTTTCTAATGGAAGAACGGTGGCGGGTACGTCGACGGCGGGTACGTCGACGGCGGGTACGTCGGCGGCGCGCACGTTGGCGGCGCGTACGTCGGCGGCGCGTACGTCGGCTGCACGTACGGTGTCGTCGGCTGCACGTACGGTGTCGTCGGCTGTACATACGGTGTCGTCGAGTACGCCGGTGCCGGTGCCGCGTACGTCGGCGTTGAATATGCCGGTGCCGGTGCCGCGTACGTCGGCGTTGGATATGCCGGTGCCGGTGCCGCGTACGTCGGCGTTGGATATGCCGGCGTCGGCGGCAGGTACGCCGGCATCGAATACGCCGGTTGCGGCGGCGGCGGCATCGGATACGCCGGTGGCGGCGGCGGCCTCATCTTTTTCCTCTGCTCCTTCATCACCTCTCGGCGAATGATCTCTTTCAGCCTCTGAAACATATAAAGTTATATGAAGGTTATAAAAGTAAATTTACGTATATTACAAGTATATTAAAAGTAAATTCACGAATCGCACATTACGAATTGCGCGTAGTCCGGCGCTAGCTTAACACACTCACACGCCACACAAAGCATGCACATGCACATGTACATCCTGCACGAAATCATACATGCACTCCTTGTCTTATTTTTTACTTACTCTTTGGTTTTGGTACCGGGGCCTAGGCCCCCATGTGGACGCCGTCGTCCCTGGCGATGTCGACGTCGTCACCGTCGTCCGTGGCAATGTCGACGTGGTCGCCGTCGTCCGTGGCAATGTCGACGTCGTTGCCGTCGTCGCCGTCGTCCGTGGCAATGTCGACGTCGTTGCCGCCGTTGCCGTCGTTGCCGTCGTTGCCGTCGTCGCCGTTGTTGTCGCCCTCGTTGTCGCCTTCGTTGTCGCCTTCGTCGCCGTCGACGTCGTTTGCGACGACGGCGACGTCGTGGTTGGCATCGTTCCCGATCGTCGGGAACCTACACTTTTAGCTGAAAATAAATTATTTGTGATCATTATCAAATATATATATATATGGGTCATTCTCCGTCAACCGGTGAGGCCGCCTACCCAAAATTGGTTTCAACGAAAGTAAACGAGTATAGGCTTAAAATTCATAAAAAAATAAGTGCTATCAAA